TCTGACAAACGCAACCCCAAAAGTAACTTTTCAATAGACTATATATGTATTTCGAAGATTACATTCCCTTAGTTTCATGAAAATCAAAAGATTATTCTAGAAATAAAAAATTATTCAACCAAGAAACAGTTGTAAACCGAGTTTTTTGCGAATATCTCGAAAACTTTGAGGTTTTTTTTGTTGTTGTAGATTTTTACTAGACCTACAACTTTTGTAGAAAACATTTTTCTATAGAACGTCACAGTCAGCCGGAAATTGAAAAAAACTATTTTTCAACGCTTTGCGTCCCCCCATTTCTCCGGGGGTAGCTGGGCATGTAGGGCATTTTACGAATTTCTATTCCTTATATACCTGCTAACATTTTTAAATCATAAAACTTCAGGTTTTTAATATTTTGTTCCCAAAACGGATTCTGATTGGACTATAGAGCTTCCAAACAAATATACAAAATTTTATAGAGTGGGTTTAGACAAAAACGTGTTACGGTCTGAGGTATTGATATGAGCTACGGGTGTGTCAAAGGGAAAACATATCAAAAACCATGGTCAAATTTCAGTGCGCATGGAAGAAAATCAAAATGGCCGTAACTGGCCTCACGATACAAAGCCGCGGCGAGAACTAACAATTAATAAGATTGCCGGCCATCCGATACTAGCTACGGGTAACGGAAGTGTATTATTGTTACATAATGGCAAATTAGATGAAGTTCTAGCTAACAGTAGGATTGTTGCGTAAACGCAACATTTCTTCGTTAGCTCGTAGATCATGAAGTTGTTTCTAGTTTGTTGGGATCTAATTCAGGACAAGGAGATCAAGCGTCTTAAGTCTTAACCTTACTCTAAGCAACATAAGTTACAAAAAATCTCTACATATTTATAAAAAACTATTACTTACTACTTATTACAAAAAATATTTCAGGTTTTACTTAAAACTAAAAATTACGAAAAAAAAAGTAATTTAAAAATTAAACCGACTTCAAAAAATAACACTTCTAGGTATTAAAAAGTAAAAAATAACTGAACGGGGATTTTCAAAGATACCTAATCAGATATTTTCGAAGTCGGTGCCAGCCGACAATGCTTTTAGATATGAATATCTAAAAAGTAAATATAACATTATAGTTAAATTAAAATATTATACATCAATTTGTGATATATTTATACGTATCGAAATAGATTTGCTTTGCGTTGCACTGGCTGGCACCGACTTCAATATCTGATTAGGTATCTATAGTACATAAATGAAAACCCCCATAGGTATTTTTTACTTTTTAGCGCCTGGACGTCGGTTGTTTTCCGAAGTCATTTTTTTTTTATTACTTTTTCATTTCACTGAGAAAGCCGCCAAATCCTAAATAATAGGTGGCGCTGTTAACAGTTGTATCCATTATTTTATAGTAAGAAATTTAATTAAGGCGACTTATTACGCCCTAGGATGCTTATTTTCGAACGCTGTTTTTGATGTTTATCTTTTATTACTTCCTGGATTATTAAAATATTATAATTTCTTTTTGACAAATAAAATTAGCTATTTAATAAGCGTTTTATATTTATTGCTGATTTCTTTAATTTCAATTCTTTTATTTTGTGGCTTCTAGGAGTCTTAGATTTCTCTTACGTGTCTTGTATACTATGTTGTTGTCATTGCTTATGCCAGAAATCCAACATTTTAAAGATTATTTAATTTCTTTACCCGTAACGTATAAACTTTAAAGAGTCCGTTAGGACTTAGGAACATTAAACAAAAACGAAATTCACACGGTATGATCTGTGAGAAACCAGAAAATCTTGCCAATATTTCCAGCGTTGTACGCAAACGTAAACTTATAAGACATATTATATAAAACAAATCTACATATATACTAACGTACAGATTAATGCATAGCGTGCAAATAAATTGATATTGACTCGTTATAAAAACTAAGCGATAGGTAGATGCTTGGCGTCTGCTAATGACTAATAAAATGACGTCATTACAGTATTTCTTAACCGCCGCCTGCATATACGTAAATACTATAAGTATAGGGTTTTCTCTTAATTACGAAAACAAATTTTCGCGTAATTATATATTTTACAATATTTATTTACTTCGATAATATGATCGTGTACAAGTTGCCAGTATACAATACCAGTATTTTTGTATAAGTACAAAAACTCTAATTTTATAGTAAAAATCAAGATGTAGTGCGCATATACATACTCGTAGATGCGTAGTTGTAATTTCGAGGTTAGTAACCTAGGTCAATGACCGCTGCTTTTCTCTTAAATCGAAATATATATTTAATTGTCAAAATGTAAAGACAATACCCAGAATTAAATAATTTTAATTGAAGAGCATATTAATTACTATAAATAACCAGCAATGATACCTATTTATATAGTAGTTTAATACACTCGACACTAGAAGTTTATCTTAACAGTATTGGCTCTCGATGTGTGAAGTGTGTATGTAGTGTGAGAGAATTGAAATTTTTGTCTGTATAGGTATCTGTATGCATTTCACGCAATAAGTATTTAAGCTATTACGCCGGCTATACCTTGAGATATATCAAAATAAAGTGCTAAAAAATTGTAGATCCGCAATAGCATATTATGTCTCTCCTACAGTACACTCGCAAATAACTATCTTTATCTATTTAAACGCACCACACCGGCGTGTGGGCAAGTCGGTTGTTACCAATAAAGCAGATTTTAGGATAAACCTTTTTTTTGTGACGCGAAACACTCGCGTTTATTGCGATAAATATTGATTTTAAGAGGAAAAGTTTCCTACAAAAGTTGTAGGCCATTAAAAGATTGTCATTTTTTATTTAATACGTTTTTCGTGTAGAGCTAGTAGTTTGGGAGAAAAATGCGAAAGTTCTCCATAATTTGTATATTTTGTCAAAACTCATTTGATATTAGAATCCTCTTATGCACTTTTCCACGGGAAGATTGGAGTTTGGTCTTGAAAGTTCGTGGTTGAATAGTATTTTCAGGTGCACAACCATTCTAGCCACCCTAGGTTTGAAACACCGGTTGCAGTTTAGTATGAGACCCGGCCTTTGGAGTGGGTGATATTTGTGGATAGGGGAGGTGATGGGAAGCCTAAAAATATAAAAAGTATTTTGAGAATATGAAGGAGACAAAATTATGGAGACTTAAATAAAATAAGAGATAGGGCGACGATCTCTAACGATTATAGGCTAGAGTGCGTTGTTCGTCAAGGTGGGCTTACATCACCGGATCTTTTTAACGTTTATGCAAATAATCTGCTAGAGGAACTGAGAAGCAAAAACGTTGGCTGTCACATCGGTGGTTTGTGCATAAATAATTTAAGTTATGCCGACGATATGGTGTTACTCAGTCCCTCTATCGGAGGTCTTAGACATCTATTAAGTATTTGTGAAAAATACGATTTAAGTCATGGACTTAAATACAATGTGTCTGAAACTGAATTTATGGTTTTTATAAGTGAAATAGGTCCGGATGTGGTGCCCCCTGTATTTATTGACGGTATACCAATCCTGAGAGTGTCAACATTATAGTATCTGGGCCATTTGTTAACGGAGAATCTCAAAGATGACAGTGATATTGAATGTGAGCGTCGAGCCCTTGCTGTGAGGTGTAACATGATTGCGCGCAGGTTTTCTCGTTGTAACCAGGATTTTAAAATCAACTCTGTTTAAAACATACTGTCAGAATTTATATATACATGTCCTGTTGTTCAATTATACGAGCCGCGCTTACAGCACCATTAGAGTTCAGTACAATGATGCTTACCGGACTTTGATGAATTTACCGCGTTTAAAAAAAGGGCGTAGCGCTACTGATGTTTGCTTCAGCCAGGATCCCAGATTTTTGTGCGGTGGTCCGGTCCAGAATTGCGGCATTCTTGTATCGACTAAGTAATTCTAATAATGAGATTCTCCGAGTAATGTTCGAGTACTTGAGTGTTTACTTTCTCCGGCATTGATTGACACAGCAATGCGATAGAAATAAAAAATAGATAGTCGAATTTAATGTTTGTATGTATATATTTCACCATAATTTATTACAGTTACAATATTTCCATACATTGTGACATTTGCTGTCATTTTGACACTTTCAATACTTGTGATACTGTCCGACAGGTACCAAATTCAAAATAACATAGCATTTATAATATTGGGGGTTCCGTGTTTTAAAGTCCTCACATAAAATCTCAAACTTGAGAGGTAGTTCTAACCACCCCAGGTTTAAATCACCTCAGGTTTGAATAGTATTTCCAGGTGCAAAACGGTTCTTACCATCCCAGGCTTAAGCCACAACAGGTTTGAAAAGTATGTCCAGCTTTAACTAAGAATATCCGAGGCTAGTAAGTAGGGTGAGCGCGGAGCATCAGGGGTGGTGTGGGAGGAATAATAGGTGGGGCGCAGGACAAGGAACAGTTAATCGACTAGGTAAATTATATCGACACTATTGGAGTTTTGGCCAAAATGTAAAATTTTTGGAGAATATTCTCATTTTTCTCGCCAAACTATTGGTTATACACGAAAAACGTATTAAAAAAATCTGTTTCTATAAAATTTGTGGGAAACATTTTTCTCTAACATTAAACAAAACACGATTTTCTAGGTCAAATAAGAAAGATTTGACCTAGAAAATAAAATTAGCAGGTATTTTTAATACCATGTTCGTTATCAGCGCGTCGACATCCATGTATGTACCTATACCAAAATTCAGATAAATCGGAGGTATAGACTATTCGGAAATACACCCGAATTGGCTAAATAAAAAATTATATAATTTCTGGATAGTTATAGCCTATTTAAATGCTCGTGGATTTTACGCAACTGCCGCTTTTAACCACTTATATATACCTACATATATAAAAAAAAAAGTAATAATTATTATTAAATTGAGAATTGCTAATTATATTTAATAAATAAAACTTAATCACAAATAAGCTAACTAAAATTTGATAATTTAATTCAAGCAGTCCTTTATGAAATCGATAGAAGTAGAAAAGTATAAACCAACCTTTGATCCTGATGATCCTCCTGTTCGAAGATTTGGTCATGATCTTCCTGTGAAAGGCTCAATTCGCCAAATTGTTGTTCCACTGAGTTAGACATTTCGCACTTATTTCTATTAATAATTTGAGATACGAACAATCCACTACGACACAATCACCTCCGAAAGAATTATATGGAGCCGACAACGCACGTAGGTAAGTATCGATCTGAATATGAAAATGGTTCTCGGTTTGGATGCGGCCGGGGCTTAGAAAGTTAAACGGGCTAACGGAGGTCTACGATGCGGCGATGAAATGGCTGGTGGTCGGATGTGGACGGCGAAGTACAGCAGCCGGTGCGCACACGTGCTCGCTGTTAAAGGCGCGGTGTTTATTTTCGTATTACATAATAGGTTGAAAGCGAGCGAGGCACCGGTCGGTTCGGCACCGAGAGCGATGGTCGCGCGGAGTGCGGCGATGTGGATAAGGGACGGGCGCGAGGGCACGTGTGCGCCGTGCGTACGGTTCGCAGGCTATCGAGATCGCTACTCGACTGAGTGATGTGACGTGCGTGACTGAACCGAGCGAGCTACGAGCGACGCCGACTCGACTCGATTCTCCGTGCATCCATTTTGTGTTTTGTTGGAGAATGCGCACACTGGGCGTGGCAGATGGAAGCCCGCGGGGAGCGAGGCGAGGTTAGTGAGGTACTCGTATCGATCTCGTCTTATCGAACAAAAAACACTCAAAATATAATATTTTAAGAGCAAATATCTTTACACAACTTTATGCAGGTTTGGAAAGTTAGTATGATATTATAATTGAAATATTTTGCTAATACCCAGGGAACGAAATACTGCCTACATAGTTTTGCTGTAGGCTTATAGTACTAAATAATTAATTAAATTGTATGTGTTATTTATTATTAAAAAGTTATGTGCCCTAATGTACTTGTCGCATTTGTGTGGATGAATAAGTTTCATTTTTAATATAAGTGTAGTATTCTGTATTTAAAAGATTACGATATAATTAGCTAAATAGATAACAAAGTGCAATCATTTTCAAAATTATTATTTTATACTTAAGAAATTAATAGGTATTATTTTATAAAGATATTTTTATCGACTACAGAATAGATGTATGGTCAACCACTAAAACGATAGAGTTCGTGAAGTATATTCGTTAGTGGGTCCGTGTGGCGGCGCCCCGCACCAATGCCTTCCACGACGCCCGTCCGGGGCCCCCGGAGGGCGGTCGCCAGATACCGCCTACTTCGTCCGGTACAGGCGTCACCCGCCTCGTGTCCCGCTTCACCTTACAACTAACTACAACCGACCGGGGCACAGCCACAGTTCCAAGGAGAAAACGCCCTTCAAACGGCCCGTATCCAGGCCCTATGCCCTCGCTTGGCGCAGACCTCGTTAGCACACCGCGTGACCCGTCCGATCGAGAAGACTTTTCCCTTGAACACCTTTGCTTCGTGGATACGGGAGTAGAAACGTACAGATGACGAATAGGAAATTAACAAAAAAACTAGCAAAGATTCTAGTTAGTCAATGATAGCGCAAGCGACGGTGGCAGGGCGCGCAGAGCGTACCGTTCGAGCGCAGTGAGCGAGAGCAGCGGAGTGAGTGCGGCGCGAGCGCGCGTGCTTGCATAGGCTGGCACCGAGCGCTGCGTCACGCGCCATTCATAATCGCACCGCGCGCGCCGCCCGCCGTTGACGCAGTAATAGTGGCCGCTTTATTTTTTGCATTATGTATATGTACCTACATAGTAATTTTATTCATTGTACGACAAAACAAAGCCATTCAAAGATTGCATTATCGACTGAAAACGGTTATTGCCATAATTACACCTTTTTGTAGTATCTATAGTATACACACCTATGTTATTAAGATTATACGCATGTAGAGATAAGATAATCTAGTTATGGTTAAACCTCGTCCAAACTCAGCGTCTCGTCGGCCCACCTGGCATCCGCCGGTCGAGTTATGTATTTTTACATTAAAGGAGCCTCCAATCGGCTACATGTGTCTCATTTAGTTTTATTTTTTTTCTTAATTTAATTTTAAGTTAGTATAAATAGTTTTCGAAACGCTCCGAAACCAAAAGGATCTTGTAAATATTATTTAGTAAATATTATTTATTTATGGTAAAATTTTATTGTGCTACTGAGTAATGCACTTTTTATTAATTATAATTATTACTTTATTACTGATCCTTTGTTGTTTTTAATCAAATTTACAAATAGTGTATAATAAGCAATATTAATACTTTTCATAGTTACACATTTATAAAGGTTATAATTTCATAAATATGGAAAATCAGATGTAGGTACCTACCCTAAATAGTAAATATAATCCTGTAATGTATACTAATATAATATTATAAAGAGGTAAAGTTTGTGATATTGTGAGTTTATGGGTTTGTGAGTTTGTGAAGTTGTAGGGGGGTAATCTATGGATCTACTGAACCGATTTACAAAATTCTTTTACCAATAGAAAGCCACGTTCGAGTGTCATAGGCGATATATTAACCCAAAAAATTAAAAGACTTTTCATTATCGTTTATCATTGTAAGTCGGAGAAAAAACGGTCGAACGAAAACGTTTCTTACGAGCGCTGCCAGATATATATGATTATGTTCTAGACCTTGAGAAAAGTTGTAGAGCTTAATAATGCCTACAAAAAAGTCAGCGACAGCATATGTCTTTTATATTTACGTCACAAAAAATAATTTTTTATATTAAAAAATAATTTAAATCGCTAGGTCATGTTTATTGGTCATATTATCAACAATTATGAATTCTTATCAAAATAAGTAAATTTATCGTCTTAAATGTTTAAAACAAAAAAACTTTTCTCTTTTACTGCATATAAAAGTGTAGTTTGTAAATTGTGAGCTTGTGACGTTGTAGGGGGTAATCTCTAGATCTACTAAACCGATTTAGATGAAATTTGGTAAGAAGATAGTTTGAGACCCTGGGAAGGACATAGGATGCTTTTTATCCTGGTAATAATCCCTTATGGGGGTGAAGATGGGGATGAAAGTTTGTATGGGGAAGCAAGCCAGGGACGAACCCTAGCGAAGCGAGGGTGAGTCGCTAGTACTATATATCATATTTCGGTCTTTGCCTTATATGTATAGTATCAAGTATGACCTGAAAAGTAGCGTCTATTTTCGCTAAATATTTGGATAATATATTTTTAACAGCTTTTTATATTAGGAGCCCCTGATGTGAAGCTCTAAAACGGACTACAAGAATCTATAATGGGTATCTCTAAAGTAATGGTCTCGTCATAACAAATCATGAGTTTTAAACTTGAAGGATTTACTACTAACCATTGGAGAGCTCTTCTATCCACGTCCTGTTTCTTTTATCAGTTAGATTGCAAGAAATTATTGCACTATTATTCGAATTTCACATATTTGCAAAGAGCTAATATATAAGATATAAGAAATCAAATCTAAAAAGTAGATTAAAATCGAACTCCAGGATTTAATTTCATACATAGTAACAAGTGAAGCTATTAAAATTTAAAAGCGTCTTAAAAACTTGTTTTCAGTAGCATCTTTCCAGTATGGCGTCGCAAGCGACGTTCACTCAAGGTCGCAAGCTCCAAATATTAATGAAGACAGCAAACTGTACTAATGCCCTATATTAAAACTCTCCTTGATCATTTTCAACAAAAGCACCTTTTTGTCTTTATTGACTAGACTAATAAATACTAATTACTGAGAAATACTACTTACTGAGAAGTAAGTAACTATCGAGAAAGTACGAAACTAATCAGTAATCATACATGGGTAAAATCTGCTCAGTTCTTAGAAATAACAGAATGGTTAATATTTCTCACTATCACTATCCACATTAAATAGGATATTATATTCATTCCTCAAATATTTTGTCAAAATACGAGTTTACAATTAAAAAATCCGGGCGTGCCCTAGTTAATCACAAACAAGATCATGATCGCAACGACCAACTATTAATAATATGTGGTCGCGGACGTTTAGTGCCCCCAGTGCGCGAGCTGGGTTAAAGCCCAACTTAAATTTGTAGGTATGGGTACATTTCATCGCTATCTCGTAAAACTTATCGTATGTAACCTAAAAAAGCTTCAAGAGCATCCAGTCCGCTGTAGCAACGAACGTTAGATAACATCCGCCGGCAATGAACACCCCTGCGCAAGAAATACGTATTTATTGTCGATCTGGTTTTGAGAAGGATGTTTTATTTGTATCACAATTCACAATCCCTTTCAAAAGGGTTAGAGAAGTTATGAGCAAGCCCAGATCTTTGAAAAGATAAGGGAGCAACTGTTAAACTCGTATTAGTATAACGATCGTTTGAGGCGCTTTAGATTAAAAATATTTTATTTGAAATAAAATACGTAAGTACAAAATAAAATAGATATCGTTTCCGGGCAATTTTGTTATTTATTTGTTAGATAAAAACATTGAAAGCATTGAAATCAATGATGACAATGACGATCAGTGGTTGTTGCAATAGGGCGCAGATGTTGCGGGCAATGGGCGGAGTGCACCAGGGTGCATGCGTCAAGGCGCTGCACCCGAAGCTGTGCCGGCCAATGGCGTGCAGCCCCACCCGCCGCAGCGCGCCGCCGCGACGCCGAACGCACCCCGCCTCAAACATCATCACGTCATTCAGTCATCTAGTATATCATATGATATGTTATAATTGTTAGCTTTGCACCGCATTTTATCTTCATAAGCTTAGCTTCTTTTTTTAATAATTAATATGCAAGTCTCAATATTATTAATAAGGAAAATATTTAATTATTTAGAATAAAACTAAATGCGAGACAATCATCATCTTTGTCTTTAAAAAGTCGAGCAATCACTAATTATTATGTAGGATTTTATAACTCCCGATAAGTAGACAAAGTAAATTAGTTTAGAATTCGCTACCACATTAACCTAATCCGTCATACAAGAGATAGGAATTTGGATAATAGTCAATATGCGTGTTTTTATAATTTTTTCAACAATAACTTACACCGTTATATAATTGTAAAAAAATATCCAGGTCCAAAAAATTAAAATTTATTGAAAAAAAATTAAAATATCATACAGACATTTTAACCGCCAACCATTTTGTCACATTTGGCGTCACGTCATAATCTATGACAACATTGTAATCAACAGGAATGAACAGGTCTAGTTTATTTGTACCATCGCAATCACTCATCACAATCAATTCTATAATAGACTTTGACGTCACATTCGGTCTGATCAATCGCGTTGCGTTTCAACTACTTTTAAATTTCCCACCTAAGTATTTTTTCACTTCTCAATAATTATTTTCTTAATGAAAAAGAAATCACCTTAAAAATATTGATACATTCTTAATTTAGAAGCAATAAAGATTACTTATAAAAATAAATATTTCACCTTTATTTAAATCACACGCATATAACATATTCCCTATTTCTATGGAGCTCATGACAAATGGTAATTTCTAGTAATGAAATCCACGCATAGTAGTAAAATTTTTGGGATGCACTGTTAGTTACATATTAACTTTGGTCGATTTACTAAAAAGGTAAAAAGGTACCTACGTCAAAAAAAAATTTAATATTTGATTAAATAAGCACCACATTATGTCGTTTAATTACAAATTCACTATTATTTAATTTTGTTGTAGATACAACGCTGTGATTCTAGCAGCATAATATATCTTTAATTTGGCAAATATATGTTTTTTATATTTGACATAGGTATATAATATTTTCAGAGATTACCAGAGGCGGTAATCAAACCAGCTAAAAATGCAAAAAGGTTCAACGTCACTATTTTATTGAATCGTCGATCTATGTTATGAATAAAATTTCTCCAACAAACGTTGTATCATCGAGAAAGGAAACTTGTCATCTTTTAGATTTAAGGTACTTTTCGTCCATTTCCCCTCCGTTTGTTCCAAAATATTAAGAGTCGATATGATATATTTTCATACCATAGCATAGACGATCGATTAAATAGTGGTGTTGTAATTTTTTTCATTTTTAGCTTGTTCGATTACCGGTTCTGGTGAGCATTAAAAAACATTTAAATGCAAGTATTAATATTAAAAAAAAATAAAGTTGTGTTTCCTTTGAGTGAAAGTTAATATCATCAAATTTTTTAAATACTTTTCTACCATGTCCTATTTGTTTGTTCTACCCTGTATATTTACCTATGGGATATGAACACTAAAGGTCAGCCTTAAAAACTGGTTCATTCTAAAGATGCGCTGATGATTTTACACACTAAAGTGAACCTCGCGCGTGTTAAAGAAAATAGTTAAGGGTATGTACTATGATATTTTTAAAATGCATGGAATCATATGTATCATACCTACTAAATGAAGCAAAACTCTAGTTATTAGACGAAAGAACACAGTATTATGCAGTCAGAGACATATTACAGTAGCAAGACTCGTATCTTGTTACGCAGTCGGGCTTTTATTTTTGTACTTTTTTTTTATTTACAATTTTTTAGTTTTAGTCAGTTTGAAATTTTAAGTTTTATTTAATAACTACTGACTCGTCCTCGCTCAACTCGGTTCCGTGCCTAGTTATGTTTTAACGTTTAGTATAGATTTCTCAGATATGAGATATTTTCCTTATTTCATCAAAATCTGTCCAGTGGTTTTCTCGTGATGCGTTCCCAGACAGATAGACAGACAAACATTCTAAAAATTATAGATTCGGCCTCTGTATCTGTAAAAATGAGTATTTCGATAAGGTTTTCCGAAAAATATTTATTGTACAGATTATATTATACCTTCAGATTCGACTCAGAATTTTATTAGGATAGATAGATAGGTAATAAATACGAAAAATGTATTAGTCTGTTTCCTTTCATAGTTAAACTACTAAACTATTCTAATATTCCCCGTAGACAGAGTTTGACGAAAAAGGAAAGCAATAGTTTGATGCAAATTCATCAGAACAGCATGCACGTTCTTATTAGTGACGAAAAGTCTACCATCTTAGTACTATCCTGACGCCTCCATGTTAACAACTTGAGAAAATTGAGTATACGTTGGTAAGTGCATCACTTGAGAATGGCTGAATCGAATTGGCATTTTTTTAAAATGTTATAGTCCGAATAAAAAATTGGAAAATTTAGATGAAAAAAAGTATTTTTTTTCTATATAAAGTGTTTTTGCGCCTTAAGGAATAACGATCATAACTAAATCAATTGAAATTGTGGTAGGATAACGTCGGTCAGGTCAGTCATTACACATTATTCATTGTATTCTGATCCAGCTCGCTAATCTGATAAAACAGCGTTGCAAATAAAGGGTAATTTCATTACAAAAATTGTCAGTTTTGTTGATATACATACATTTTTTTCTATATTCGTACGAGTCGCCCACTTAAATGTTATGATGTTCCTAAGAGGTGTAGGACAAGTGACAATACTACAAGTAAGCGTGACGAGCACGCGCAGCTTCCGGTTGGCACTAGATCGTAAGAGGGCGCGCGCGGTATAGCGGCTGATCGCGGCGCGGAGGGGGGACGGTTGGTGTCAACGAACCAACGGAGGAAATGGTCGTCTAGACCACGAATACTCACTTCAATTAATCCAGAGAGATCGGGAACGGCTCGTGTGACCAACAAATAACATACAAAAAATCTAAATGACCGGAGTGTAATTACATTATAAATAATAAGTAAACATCAGTCACCAAAACAGAAACGTTCTTTAATTTATGTAAATCAGCAGCAAGAGAAGTCAAAATATTTATTATGTACTAGCGACTCACCCTCGCTCCGGTCGGGTTCGTCTCTAGTTACGTTTTAAAAAGTTTAGTATAGATTTCTCAGAGATGAGGTATTTCCCCGCAGTAAAAAGTATCCCATATGTTCACCCAGATAACCAGCTATCATCATACCAAATTTCATCAAAATCTGTTCATCTGTTTTCTCATGATGCGTTCCCAGACAGACCGACAGATAGACAAAAATTCTAAAATTTCTCTGTATCCATAATAATGACTATTTCATTTTAACAGTATCATGACTATTTCAATAAGATTTTCCAAAAAATATTTAATGTACATTTTCATTTATTCTATTTTCATGAATTTTATTATACGAGTATGTACCTATAGATTTAATTGTTCCACTATGTTATAAAAACTTTATAACATCAGACTTTCTGACCTGCCGATGCCAGAGTCTTAAAATATCTTCCGTATGAAACCTTTTATTACCAATGTATGACATACCTACATTGTATTGTAACTATGGCGCCGATATAATGTAAAGATGTAATAATAATGCGACATGAGCAGTAGCGTAGTTACAATAAATGATATCGTTCACAATATGGCCCGGACGACTCCAATGTCCGCGTATCAGTCGTTATAGTCTGTAAAGTTAGTGTGTTGTGACTACTAACAAGCTCACTATGCCTATAGCTAATGTAATACATTTGTTTATTGTTTCCCAATCTAAATAAAAAATATAATTTATAATTTTGTATCTACCATAGTAAGTTTCTGAATTGTATTATTGGCCTCGTTCGCAATACGAGTACACTTCACTTTATAAAGGTGTTACCGTAGGTTAATTTTAGTTTTTCAGATTAAATGAGTGATTGTAATAAAAAATATTTATCTTAAAATGCAATTGTTATTCTTAATGAAGTAATTTTATGTTGAGAATAAATAAAAGCAATGCGGTTACACTAAACGCTTCAAGCTGGCCGCGTGTCCAGCGATAGTTGAAGGGCGAGACGGCTTTGTGCAGTGGTGATAATTAAAATTCACATACTAAGGGGTCGAAAGGGTCGGAGATGCACAGCGCTTCGCAGAGAAAGTGCATATAGCAAAGTGTGCAATATCGAAGCGAGGGGCGAGCGCGCGTGCCCGAGGCGCGTGCGTTTGCACTCGCCACCTCACCTTTCCCATTTTATAGTCTCCGCTGTCTTTTTGTGCAGGTAATCGCAAGTAATCTTATTTTATAAGAGTAAAAATGGCATTATATTCGTTTTCTTCAACCAATTTATCTTTTTCGTGTACTTCAACTGAAGCCTTGTAACAAGTGTTAACTTAACTCCAAAAAAATATACTATACATGGCTCCAAAAAAGATAAAAAATAGCTGGAGGAACCCAACACTTTAACGCATTTTAGGATGTCCAATCTTAAGTGTTCCTCAATAATCAGTGTCATTTGTTAAGTTTGCTATCGAGTGTGCCTATGTATACTGTACCTAGAAAGTAGATCCTATACCTACTCGTATGTGATGATGTGCGTATCATTCATTGTACATCACCTTAAATTATGCTTTTAATATATTTTTATTAATTGCAAAGTACCTAATACTTTAATAATTTGTTACAACACATCCATGTACATTATACATATACTTTACTTGTAATGTCTACCTGACCGATTTCGAGTACAACAATTCTCAATGAGATTATCCATGTGCACAGGAGATATTTTGTAATTTGCGTGGAGAGGAGTATACAGGCAAACGCAAAAGCACTCTCTATAGTCTAAATCTTTCACTCCCAAATTCGAATAGGATGACAATTCCATACTCGTGATGAGAGTCACGGTACTCATTGACTCAACTGCCTCAGTGGCTAGTATGTACGGCTGCAGACACGGAGGTCCTGGGTTCGAGTCCCGGGTTTCGCT